TTAATTCACATGTTAGCTGTTAAAAAGATCCAAGGGCTGCTTAAAATTTTAGAAACGCGTCCTGCTGAAGTTTATTTAATTCTAAATACGCTTTTCATATAGAAATGTTTTATTATAAATAAGCTTTTAATATAGAAATTTCAAAATAAAAGTTATGTTTAGCAGTTGAAATTTTAAATTTTAATCTGATGCATTTCTCTGAACCTATATAAAAAGGTATGTTGTAAAATTTCAGATAAACCACTCGAAAATGCAATGTTTTGATTCTTCTTTTATCAATAAAAATTCACAGCTCACGAAAATTTGACTTCCGGCCAACATAGAGATTTTATCACAAACACCGAGAAAACTTTTTACGTGAAGATCCATTCTTTGGGCTCTCGAAAAACTTGATCTAGAATTTTCTTATTTTGCTTGCAACAGGATATGCGTCTCTGAAGGAATATGTGTATAGGAAACGAAGAAAAGGAAGTTGAAGAAAGTACATCTACATTCTAATTCCCAAGTGTCTCAATTCGCTTCAGGAACCTCAAGGGAAATAACCGAAAGAAAAAGGGTTTTGAAATAGATGTCGTTGGAAAACTGTTACGTATAAGAAACCGAAAAATTGAAGGAACATCATAAATTCATGATGTAACGTGTCACAGAGGGCAAAGTACTGTGTTGACACTCCTGTAGACCAGGTAATTTTATCTGGCTGGAATTACTTCCCCGTTGGAAACTGAGTCATTTAAGTGACGTTAATGGAGTATTTGTGTCATGCAGGTTCAGTTATCATTATCTTATTGTGTAAATATTAAAGATGAGATTTCTCAGAGTACATTTTTCAAAAAATATATGAAACGTAAGATTTTTTTTTTTTTTTTTTTTTAAATTTTATTTGAAAGCTTTGTAGATTTTTATAATTTCGTATTTATTTGATTAAGTATTTTATACGCCTTTATTAATGCGATGTTTTAATGGATTTATTTTACGTTAATTTTTCTGATTTAACTTCAGTAAAATTCCAGACAGAGATCTTCTATACACCTCTTGCATCTAATATTCTTATACTCTTTAGATTGGGGGCATTTTGCATGTTGGATTTCATTTGATTATATATTTAAATCTAATGGAAAATGACAGGTAAATCGAATGTAGGCTTTACAGTTGTGTAAAGTTAAATCGAATGTAATCTTTACAGTTGTGTAAAGCATCTAAAAGCTTAGAACTGGAATCATTAATAGGTTTCATTTTGATATAGCTAATTACCATACAAGTCCATAAAATGTCCGCTATCATGTAAGTATATTATATTCCTTCATAAAATGTTGGTAAATTGCAGAATATAAGTACATTATAGTCTTCCTTAGTAAAAATGCATCTACATTATCTTATGAATAATATGAGAAAAAAATACTAAATCGTATAATCTCAACACTAGCTTTTTGGAATTGCAGTTTGTATGTTTAATTGTCCGAAAATGCATGTTGCATTCTAATGTATACTTTAATTTTATAATAGTTACTTTAATTTGGATAGCCTTTCCTATCAATTCTTGTTTCCACTTACAACTCCCTACCAGAACGAGATTTTTAGAATCGCGTTGAATGCAAATGAGTTAGAAGAAGTATTTAAGGAAGGTTCAAGTTACTTCGTGAGAGAGAGCTAGCAATCCTGAGTAGCTCGTGTTTGCCTTCGGGATAAGTCTGTCTTGAAGCTGTTACGTACGGCCGTTTTGTTATATGCCTTTTGATATTCGCCGGCTAGTTTAAATTAAGGGCCAACTACGTTAGATTTGTGTTAGCTTCGGCTAAGTCTCTTAGTTAGTTCTAATATAGTCCTTATGTCTTATTTTGAGTTCAAGTCCGAATGGAGGCTTTGTTGTAAGCCCGAGAAAGGGGCCAACTGTCATTCTTAGTTGAGTATAATAAATGGTATTTTAACCTTATCGAATCTACATCTTTAATTTTTTTAACTCAGCTATAAGTCGCTACACGGTTCACTACGTTCCTCAACGTTTATCTTAGCCAAAAGCAGTGAGGAGTCAATTTTCTTCATAACAACGACATGATTCGAGACTTTAAAAGTAATGCACGTTTCAATTGTAAAAGTGGGAAATCATAATACTATAAAAAGGCAATCAAACTAATAGTTTATTATTGATTGGAAAACAAAGAACAACAATTGTAGCGTAGGGTAAACAGTATATGTGTGAGAGTGCGTGCTTTTTTGGTTGATGCACACAGTAACGTTTCCTTAAAAATAATTATTAAAAAGAGTGCTATTGAATACATGTTCTTCCTGTATATTTGGAAGAAAATAATTCAATGATGCGTAGGTATTTATATAGAAAATTTCCTGTACTTTTAATTTTCTTTTCCCTAACACCTATCGGCTAAGCAGAATGGAATATATAGAATTCTCCTACTTTTTGCTTGCAGAGTGTACAATAATTCAGATAAAATTTACATGTTTTATTTAACAATAAATTTGATGGTATGAATTATCAGTCTCTTAAAACGTAGGGAAAAAAAAACAGTTTATTTTCAAGAAGAGCATTTATTACACTAATTTTTAGATGTAGATGCCAAAAACCTAAATGCCTAAATATATTTTGTGGCATAGTCTCATGACGCCAAATCGTAATATTTCTAATTTAAGATATGTCTTGTAAGAATAAATAGCAACATGCTTTTCGTTCGCGTATGCAACCAAACCTAGATCATCTATATGTAGTGGACCTAAGAGACACATTGCAAACTGTATGATAGATTATACAGAATTCAGTCTAGGTTAGTAAAGATTAATTTAAGAAGTTTTCTTTTTATACGAAAAACATTTACATAATTCAATCTCGTTAATAAACTTGGGTAATTAAGTTTGCGAATGTTCTAGTAAACATAGTGTACTTTGCTATAATACAAGATACTTGTATAATGAACTAAATTTGAATTTAGTTAGAACAATCAGTAATACCTGGTGATTTAATTGAACTCTACTTAATTTTATCACTCATGTGTAACGAAATATGCAAACTAAACTTCAAATGTGAAATATGAAAATTTATCTTGAAGGTTTCTTTTTTAATTTAGCGATTATATAACAGTTGTTATAGAATAATGTAGTGATATCGCAAAGATTTTCTACCAGTGATGTGTGTGTGTGTGATTATGGCAAAGCCTCGAGGGCTATCTGCCTAAGAGAAGGGATGCCTTCGTGGAGGACTTTCTAAGGGAAACTGGCTCGTATACACGTTACACATGGGGAAAACCACGAAAACGCCCATGCAGCCAGCCCGTTCGCGGGATTCGAACCTCGGACCGAACTACCAGTGTTCAGCGACTTTACCGCTCGGCCGCTGGTGGGCCTTTCTACCAGTGGAGAATTCCACCTACAGGAGATTTTCGGAATTTCAGACGAGATCTTTTACGATCTCAGACAAGTATACTAAAACAAGTGTAACAACTATACTAAAAACTTTACAGTAAAGAACAGGTAAAGGTATCTGAAATCATGCAATCCAAAACAGTTGGAAAGATAAATTTGAGCATTTTATAAACGAAAGTAGTTCTTTCTTCATATTTATTAAGTAAAATAATAAAATTTATATTAAATGTTTATAAATAATACGGATTTATTAAATATAGGAAAAATGCAACTTAAGTATTTCTTTGTAACATGCTAAAATAGCAATTTTAATTTTTCATTTTATCTGTTATTTATAATGCGCCACGCAAATACTACTAGTAATAGGGAAAACACTATTGGAGTGAAAGACATTGATATACAGTACGCAGGTGAGATGCAGCAGTAAGGGTTAAGAAAAAATATTATGTAGTAATCCCTCATCACTAAAAAGTTCAGGTGTTTTTCGGAAAATAAACTTTTTTCTTAATAAAAATAAAACACTGACATAGGCACCACATGTCTTCTTTTTACGGCTCATTAAATTATATACACTTTTTTGCTGCACTTCGTTTGAATTATTCTATCTTGAATAACCGATCAAGGTTATTTCAAAATGACATCAAAAACTGCAGATTTTGATATTAAGTATTCCGGTAAATTTTTGTTGTACAAGAACATCTCGTAATTTTATTTTTTCATAACAAGTATATAAAACTTTCTCAAACATAAATAAAGGAATAGGGAGACGGCATAATTGCCGAAAATAACGTTTTTTGTTTCTTTAAATTCGACCTTTCCCAAACATGAATATTTTGTGTCATTTAAAACACTTTTATATTTTAAAGTATATGACAATGACTAACGTTTGCGAAAGTAAATGTTGGGTAAAGGACTTTTAAGCCGAGTAAAGGGGTGGGTATGTATGGATGTGTGTGTGTATATATCAGCATCACAAATTTTTATAAACTTTCAACGTTCTGCTGCTAATCCATTTGAGTTACATAAAATACATACATACCTACGTATACAGGTTGAGAAGTCGCAGAAATTACCTTTTGAATCCATTTTACAACCCGATTTGAAACAAAGAGTGCATTCTATGTGTATGTACATATGTCAAAGGGAAAATCGTTCAAATGGATTCGAGACCGATCAAAATGGATATTCCCGTTAAAATCTGATTCCCGAATTTTTAGCGATAATTCTATTTGTACTTCCTTCTATTTTGCACAAGGAAGAATAAAAGCTGGGAATGTTGTTGGTGAAATTTCATTGATGAGAATGATATTTTATGGCTTGAAACTGTTTCAAGCGATATAAAATTCTTTTCATGTACAAAATATAATCATCGTATAACTGAAATAAAATTGACAAAATATCTCCTGCTAAAGAATGTGAATATATATATCTATGTTTGCACTTAAATCAGTATTATTGAAAATAAAATATTATATCTCACGGATTAGACAGGATGGTCTTAATTTATTCTTTTTATAAATCTCCTAATCTTTTTATATAACTGCAAAGTTTAAAAAAGTAATTGAATGAATTTCGAAAGATCTGCCTTTTTTGTAAAAAACATTTAGTAATCGTATTTTCTGTTATTTTAGTTGCATCCGGACGGAATAAGTTGCAATTCTACTCCTCAATCAAAGCAAGCTCATCTGATCAGCTCAGTTCCATCACCAATAGATCATCTTTCTCCTCCTTCGTTTATGACTCTTACACAGCTCACCGAAGCAGGAACATTGCCATCTAAGATGATGCCACCCTCATCGATATCACAGGAAGCGCAACAACATCCGGAAGCTCAACCACTCTTATCCACTTCTTCGCGATCAACTCCACCACATGCACACCACTTGCATCACCACCATCCACACTGGCCAGCTACTACAGGCTCCAATCATACAATGGGCAGCCATCCGCAACAACAGCAGCAGGAGATGCGAGTGTGAGTACGTGTCTTTTATGAAATTTCTGGATGGATGATGATTTGAGATTTAACTCTCATTCCTAATTATAGATTAAGAAAGAATTATTGAGAGTAAACTGTAAATAATTTATTCTAATTATTAAATTTTTCTTTTGCTATAGTATTAATAATAGTTGCTATTTTGTAAAGATATTTCTTCTATCAAGCTCATTAATGTAAGTGCATACATTATAAAAAGTAAACGGGATTTTAATACATAAAAGTCAGTTTTATTCTGTAAATATCCTCGGTTCTTAAACAAATTGCATAAAAGTTTAAACCTTAAAGTATACCTAATTATTATAAACGTGAATATATTCAATAAAATTAAGTCTGTAAAAGTACTTTTATGTTACTTTATGCCTGCATACACTGTTTTCTACTAGTTTATTAGTTATAATTGAGATGTATATTTTAACAACAATATTATGAGATTGGTTTGTTGGTGACGGAGAACGGGGACGCCTGATGTCTAACAGAGGTGAACAGGTATGTGTCCCGTGCCATCCACTAACCAGAAACAACTCCCTGAGTCCTCAAGAGCCTCAGGAGCTTTTTGGAATGTTAACAAGAGTATTAACTTGGCCATACAAAGGCAGATTGCACTTGTTTTACTGTTTTGGCATTTGTTTTTCCTATTTTATATGGTAATTATGCATATTCATAATAAAATTAAAATACAAATACAAATTAAAAACACAAATACAAAAATACAGTTACAAAATAATAGAATTAAAAGACAGGCTCATAGGTAAATGACATTAAATAGTATGCATATACAGAAGAAGAAACGTTAAATATATGCTGGAAAAATTTGTCTGTGCATTATTTAATAAGTGTTTGTAATAAGGACTTATGTACATTTTATGAGTATACTTATGTATCTGCGGATGTGGAACTACGTGCTGACTTAGTTAGCGTATCATGCCTAAGGAACTTTGTTTAATGAGAAGAGCATAAATCTTGGCCCATCCCCCCTTTAACTTGTTAAACTGCTGGTTTATGTTTTATAAGGAAGCTTTGATAAGCTTCTCTATTGTTGATGGGAAGAGGGAAGTAATTTCCTGCTGTCAGATGGCATTCGAAAACAGAGTGGTCTGGGGAGCCTTCCTCTCCGCAGACGCAAATATCCGTGATTGTTATACCATGTGTATTGCAGTAGGCCGGGAATGGGCCGTGTCCCGTAATATAATATAAGACGTGAGAGAAGCTATTGAAATGCTGCGTTCGGTGCTGACTTTCGGGAGGTAGCTGTATGTACGTCTTCTAGTTGTGCAGTGCGTCCAGTCTTCCTGGTAAAGGTTTAGGCCTTGACCCCGTAATAGCCCTTTGAGGTAGGAAAGAGCGGCTGGGATTGTGATTTGTTCAACTTCTGGATCAGTAGACACTTGCTTGGCCAAGCTATCAGCTGCTTCATTCCTCTGCATGTGCCTTTATCCAAGTGAAGAAGAGATGTTTCTGCGGGCTGCGCAGTAAACGTTGTTGTAATTTGATGATCATGGTCGAGGTGTGGTTGTGATTTTATAGCGCTAGAAGTGCTGATATACTGTCTGTGAAAGGTTTTGCCCGTTCTACATTATTGTTGAAAATGTAATGTACCGCCGTTGTAATTGCTTACACCTCCGCCTAGAACACACTGTTGTTTAAGTCAAGGCGTCCTTTCCATAGATATATGATTCTTCCTTTTTCATAGTGCGCAAAGCCGCTGCCTACTCCGTCTTCCTGTTTAGAACCGTCGGTGTATATTTACGTATTTCATGAAACGCGCGTCATTGAGAGTGGCTGACTCCGTGAGATGTTAATACTTATTCCTATGCCTTTACGTGCGGAGTGACTTACTTATTTATTTCGCTTCTCGGGATTTGTACAAAAGTTCACTTACATCTCTATTGCCTGTCTCATATACTGCCTGAAATGTTTATATATATATATATATATGGTGTCAAAAATTAAAGAACCGTATTTCAAAGCTGCCTACACGTGAAACAGATCATCAGAAAATTGTGAAATTTTGTGGCGAACTTAATGAAAGGGATAGGAGCTTCTTTGAGAAAACAAAGGTTACAAATATCGCCAGCAGAGGACATTGTTTAACAAATTACACAGTTAGTCCTTCCTTTACAATAGTGTTTTAATTTTACACATGTTTTATACTAAAACACGTTCCATATGATTCCATATGATGACTAGCATCTTCAGCTACTATTTGAAACCGCAGGATGCATGTTTCACAGTTAAACGAAGTCTGTGCTCGGAAATGTTGAGTATATAGCGTGAAATGTTGAGTTTAAGATCAAGAAAGATTCTTGGATTGTCACGACTTACCAGTTGTTTGTTTCAAATGTCCCCAAAGCCAAAAAGGGCATGGATTAAGATTTGAGGATCAGGTAGGCCATTACCAAAGTGCAGGTTGATGACATGTTCTGTTATTAACTGATATCCAAGAACATAAAACACCGTGCGATGTGTGGCTGAGCTCCATCTTTCATAAAGACTGCAAGGTACTAACGTGCGATATACGTATATCCCTGCCCGGTGACTGAACATGTCACTGAGCCTGCAAAATTTCTGGAGCAAAATACAGACCGAGAAAAAATGATCGTTATATGCCATTATCTTCATGTTTGGTGAATGACAGAGAATCTCTAAGATAGGGCCGGGATTTCTGGTTTCCAAATTTCAGCTAATTTAACATTTTCCGCTTTATAATTTTTATAATTTTATATAATTTTTATGTTTTTTTCATATGTTTTTATTTGTTTTAACTTGTTCCATCGATCTGTTTTTTATATGTTTTAATATTTCACTTATCACATCGATAGGTATTTTGCAGTATTTTTTGCCATTGACGAGTTTCCAACGATTAGTATTTTACTGTGTTTTATATTATACATTTTTATTTCGCGTGTAGCCTAATTTTTCACCCTTCGATGTCATTGTTTTTGCACTTGTAAGTATTCACTGCCCATTCCAAATTTAAATACGCTTCCTTCTTGCAAAGATTATTCAAAGACCATTCTGAATCGACCTCAGAGTGAGTGAGAAACTGTAATGACAATCGGAGTTAAGCGTCAAAATCATGTGGAAGCAAACACTGCATTGTAATGATAATATTGGACGATACTCCGAAAACTCTTATGGACAATAGAATTACCAAATGCCTCTGCTACACACAGGACACTAGCGTAAGTCTGAAAGTTTGAAGCTGGGTCGGCTACCACCTGAGGAAAATAAAGGGCAACTTCCTGTACTACTTCTGCTGAAATGGGATTTCTGCATCTTCCAAGACGAACAGAAAAGCTTCCCATTTCTTCAAATTTCGTTATCATTTTGTGAAGGATTTCAGCATTCATTGGACCTCTTCAAAAGCCCTTTGAAGTCCTAAATTTCGTAAAGCGGCTAATTCGATGTTAAATTGATGTAAAGCGGCTAATTCTAAGTTTCTGATGATTGGTTTGGCCTGTAAGTAGCTTTGAAATAGGGTTCTTTAATTCTTCACACACTCTACAAATTTACTACAAGAACTCTTTGGTCTTCCTGTTGGGAATTAAAACTGGTAAATGAAATCATTATGCGATATTTCGTATTATATTATATCAAAAAACAAAATTTACGTTTTAAACTACCTTTCTTGCATACTAATTGTTAAAGTAGACAGTTATAACTCTGGGAACATGTGAAAGTGAATTTGTAACACAAATTATGTTTCTTTGTATACAAAATATTTTAAAAAATACAAACTATCCGTAATAAAAATTGTTATAAATTCCTTGCATGAATTCTTTAAATTAGAATTATTGTCGTGTATTCTTGCTCTGTGAGAAATTCAAAATTTAGCGATATTTTTGGAAGATCATCTACCTTTTTATCGGATCGGTTATGAAGGATATCCGAACAAAACAAAAACAATTTTTAACTATTCGTTTCATTTGATTTGATTTAAGGAGTATGCTCCGACCCACTTAGCTCTCAGCGTATAGCCATAAGATCGTATTAGGACCAATCCGTGCAACAGCAAACGAAAGTCAACTGTGCTGCCTGTACATATACAAAGACATTTTAAAGGATGTAAACTATTCTATATTTAACTAAGCTAACAATTTTAAAAACTGACATAAACTAGGGTGCAGAAAATGATAACCAAAAAGAATGAAAATAAAATAACTAAATGTAATGCATAAAATAGATAAAAAAAGATAACCCCTTTACCCATCAGATCTGAACGCATATAAACCAATCAGTGCATAATGTGACACAGAAACAGCTAATGCTTCAGTAAATCGGTTGACCAAAATTTTCGAATCGTACTCCAATCCCTACTATAATATTATTAATTATTTTCGTCATTTCTCGTGAGAAAAAGCAACTTATTTTATAAAATTTAGGGACTGCATTTTCATTAAAATCAGGGCATAAATTCCTGGAGTTTTCCTTTGAGTAGCATGAGTCAATGACGGGCCTGCTGTCTCCAACAATATTACGCTTTTTACATTGATCAGAACATTGTAAAATGAGAGTATAAATAAGCCAGAAATCCTTCAGAAGCAATAAAAGTGTGTGTTTAATTAAATATCTTTACATATTTATTGTTTATATATTTAAGTTCATTCTAGCGGGTTACTGCATATCCAATTTATCGTGGCAACTTAATTTTTAAAATGTTAAATTTAAAAGCAGGAAACACTGTTCATTTTTACAATGAATGTATGATAATGAAATCAAGAGGGAAATTTTAGATTATTTACTATAAATCACCCTGTTTTTATTTATAAGTTAATTTATTCCTGAATCTCGACTAAGTTAAATTATAAAACTCGACTAAGTGAACTATAAAAATATTTAAGCTAATATGTACATAGTTAAAATTTAAATAAGTAGTTAAGCAATTAGATTTTCCATCGTAAAGGCTAATAGTTATCTGTAGTAATTAGAATCTTCATCTGAGAGACTCTACTGAAATTAGTAAGTGCTTTCAGTGA